CGTTCACCACAGCCGCTCTCCTGCACCCACAAGCGCCGCACAGCGGAGCTGCCGTGACTCTGGAAGACGCCTCCGCGGCCCGTGCTGCCCGTGCGCCTCCTGCGCCCAGCACACACACACCCGCACCACAGCCACGCGCCGGGGCGCACGGACACGCCACCGACGAATATCCCCGCGACGATGGGCTGCCCGTGCTGCCCATGCTGCCCGTGCTGCCCGTGCTCCCCCGCGCCGCTCCTCGACCTACACCTCCGCACCTGCCTTACCCACACCCACACGCCCGCCCCACGGCGCCGGTTCTCTTACGCCACTCATCTCGCGTACGTAGCTGCCCGGTGCCCCCGCATCGGCGTCTCGGTGCATCGTGCACGTCATCCACAGGCGCACCCGCACCCGACAGACGGGGCTACGCCGTCGAACGAAGGCTGGCGCGCGGGGGGCGGGATGCGGACTCGACGGGATCCGCGTGGTGGGGCGTAAGCTGTAAGCTGTACGCGGACGCGCGGAAGGGGGGAGGCGCTCCGACGCTTCAAGTCCGCGTCCGCTGCGCGCCGCCTTCCAGCCACGTTTCCGACTCCCGCACGCCCCGTGTCGCTGCGCGCGTCTGCGCCCCCGCTTTCCAAATGCGCATCTGCTTGAGCACGGGCAGCGTGGCCCGCGTCGCAGACAAGACGGGTGTATGCATGCATGTGCGGTATGGGTATGGGTCCTGCATAGCACCAAACCAGACTGAGTGAGCGAAAGCCACGGCGGAGGGAGGGGGATGAGGACTAACCCGTCGACACCTCTCCTTACGCGCAGCGCACGACGCGCGCCGCGTCGTCGTACTTGTGTCTTCGTGCTCGCGTCTTCGTCCTGCGTCGCCAGGTCTTTGTCCTACGCCGCCAGATCTGCGTCTCCTATCGTGCGCGGGCAGCGCTCTCGCGGTCGGTAGGGCTGTGTGCGCGGGTGGGGGCGCGCGTCGTCGTACGCGTGCCCCCGCCCCCCGTCGCCAATTGTGCCCGGGCGGCGGTCTCGCGCGCTGTCTCCGCGGTCGTACGCGCGTCGTCCTGCCCGCCGCGTCCTGCGCCGCGCGCCGCCTATCGCGTCTTCCTACTCCGTCGCCAAGGCTGTATCTTAAATCGTGCCCGGGCGGCGGTCTCGCGGTCGGGAGGGCTGTGTGCGCGCGCGGGTGGGGGGTGGCAAGAAGAGCGCCAGAGGCATACGCCGCGCTCGTCCCGCGTATCGTCGCGAGCGGGGTGGGATGCACTGCACCGCGCTGCGGGGGACAATCGCGGCGTGGACGGCGGGGTCCGAGCAGCCTACTCCCGAAATCAGTCAGCAAACGCCACAGGACGCGTGGAGAACGTACCTGCAGCGACACCTCTCCTCTCCTCTTCCTCGAGGCGTCGGACGCGTGGGGCGGATACTGCGGCAGGCGCGCAATGAGCGAGCGCCGGACGCGCGGTGGGGATACGGACCTCGTGCGGACGGCCCATCCCCTCCCCTGCGCAGCCTCTCCGCCTCTTGCGCGCGAGGTGCCGCTGGGTATCGTGTCTTCGTCCCGATGCGTCGCGCGGGGCGGCAGAAGGAGAGTCGGAGGCATACGCTCCGCACCCCGCGTGTCCCCGTCATCGTGGGCCCGCGGAGTCGCCGCACCCGTGTTCTCCAAGCGCGCGCATGCATCGTCTCGAGCGAGGGCGGGTGGGGACAAGCGCGTCCCAGGATCGACTGTATGGGATCTGCAAATTAGTCAGCGGGAATCTCACGTGCGAAGGAGGACGGACGTACCCGTCGACACTGCTCCTGCTTACGCGCGCGCGAGTTGCCTCGTCGTGCGCGCGCCACCTATAGTGTCTGTGCGCGTCCGCGTCTCCCGCGCCCGCGTCACCGCCGCCTCCACCGCGCGCATGCGTCTTCTCGAGCGAGGGTAGGATCGGCGGACGGAGTCTGCGCCCAAATCAAGCCAGTCAGCAACAGCCTCGAGGCGCGCGAAGGGGGCGGAGGGCATACCTGCACCTTCGTCCTAGCCCCGCCTAATCTTTTCTCCTCGCCTGCTCTTCCTCTTCGCCACCCACTCCCGTACGTTAATCTGCGCCCGAGATCCCGGCACGCAGACGTCGGAGGACGTGGAGGGACGGAGAGCGATGCTAGCTAGTCCCGCGCAATCCAGAGTCAGCAGCAGCGCGCGCTGCGGTGGAGGGAACACACCGTAAAGAGTGAATAGAATACATCCCGTGCGTGCTGGATCTGAGACGCCAATAAGCGCACGTACAAGACGCGGAACGCAGGAGGACGGACGCACCTGGAGCTTCCGTGATCCTGCCGGCACCTAGGCTCGTGCGCGGCGGCGGGTCTGCGCGCGAGATACGGGAGTGGGACTAGTACTCTGAGAGGTGACGCCGGTGCCTTACGGAGCGAGGAGTGAAGCAGAAGACGCGGCAGACCCCGCGAATGTCATCATGGGAGACGGGAGGCTTGCGGGAGTCCCGCGCAGAGTTCTGTGTTCTGTGGCGCCCATTGCGAAGTGGTTGTGGAAGCGGAGGGGAGGCGTAGTATGAGAGCTAGTCGCGCGAGATGCAACCGACGCGGGCATAGCACCGGCGGCGGCCGACTGTTTCGTATAACGCGCATCTGTTCAGCGACAAAAGTGAGGAGGGTTAGATGGCCTCTCATCGCGATTCGCCAGGAGTTTGAAGGCAAGCTTCCGTACGTAATCAACCTACCACAACAGCTGCACAGCCTTTCGGCTTTCGGCCCGCCCGCCGCTTCTTTTCCTCTGCTAAGGTATCCCCCATCCATCCTCGACAAATGTCACGTGTTATCTCCTTATCCGGCGAAACAGAGAAAAATAATAATAATTGGAACCACTAGGGACATTAGAGCAAATTGCTTCGACCAGAGTACGGGGATACATACAAGGCATCCATAGAATTAAATCTGGGTCTCCTCGGTGCTCGTATGCTGAGGAGTTACAGCATTAAGCAAGCCATGTCAACCCTCATCAACCGCGATCAATTTATGATCTGAACCAATGCTGCTGCCCAAAGTGCTAACTCCTCGACACATGAGGACTGGACAAAGCTGAATATTATTTCATAGGTTCTTTGCCTCTATTTCTGCAATCTGGTCGAAGTGACTTGCTCTAATGTCACTAGTGGTTCCAGTAATAATTCTTTTTCTCTGTTTTGCCAGATAAGGAGATAACACGTGACATTTGTCGAGGATGGATGGGGGATACCTAACCTTTCAACACTGCCGCCTAGAAAAGCATCGGAGGTGGTGTACCTCTCTTTCCAGGTACAAAAAGTACGACGCGATCGGGGCTCGACGCCCCGGGTCCGAGTCCGAATAGTTAAGTCCAAGTTCAAGTTGAGTTTTCCAATGGTTTCATTCACCACAGGGAATATCGCTCATCTATTCAAGTTTGCAAGTACATAAATCATCGGACATGGTGTACGGTGCACCGCCTTCACTCTTGCCTTTGATCCAGAGCAGTTGCACGAGGCAGCTCGGGGTTCGACTCCCCGTGTCCGAATGTCGCTGGAACAATAGTCATAATTTTGTTCAACACGCTGCGAAATATTGCTCACCTATCCAACCTTCGCAGGTAGAAAAATCATCGGACGTGGTGTACGGTACACTGCCTCTCTCCTTCAAACTTTCACAAATGACAGCTGAGGCAGCTCGGGGTTCGACTCCCCGCGTCCGAGTAGGATTGATCGGGGTTCGACTCCCCGTGTCCGAATGTTGCTGGAAGGGTTTTCCTTTTCTTTTGAACCACTGGAAAATATTGCTCACTTATCCGAGTTCACAGATACACAAATCATCGGGCATGGTGTACGGTACACCACCTCTCTCCTTCCAGGCTTTCACAAATGTCAGCTGAGGCAGCTCGGGGTTCGACTCCCCATGTCCGATTAGTCTGGTCACCAGGTCTTTATTCCCCGCTGGGAAATCGCTCACCTATCCAGCCTAGTGAGTATAGAAATCATCGGACGTGGTGTACGGTACACCGCCTCCTCTCCTACATGTACAATTCACCTACCCGAGGCAGTCCGGGGTTCGACTCCCCGTGTCCGAATCATTTCATCTCCACTTTTTATTTGCCGCAGGGAAATACCTCACCTATTCAACTCAGCAGGTACAGATATCATCGGATGTGGTGTACGGTACACCGCCTCTGTCTTTGCAATGTTTACGTCGACAAGATGCCCGAGGCAGCTCGGGTGTTCGACTCCCCGGGTCCGAATAATTTGGTCTGATAATGGTCATCATTCGCCCCAGAGAAATATTGCTCACCTATTGAAGTTGGTATGTAAAGAGAGCATCGGACGTGGTGTATGGTGCAGGGCCTCTCTCCTTCAAGGCTTTAATAGACGTCGGCTGAGGCAGCTCGGGGTTTGACTCCCCGTGTCCGAATGCTCGGTTCATCAATGCTTTTTATTCGCTGCTGGGAAATCACTCACCTATCAAGCTGCACAGGTACACAAATCATCGGATATGGTGTACGGTACACGGCCTCTCTCGTTATGTGTCTGATGCATAGCCAGAGGTAGATCGGGGTTCGACTCCCCGTGTCCGAATAAATAGTGTTTATCGTGTATCCCTTTTCTTTGGAACCCACTGGAAAATATTGTGTACCTATTCAAATTAGTAGGTACATGAAAGCATCGGACGTGGTGTACGGTACACGGCCTCTCTCCTTCCAAGCTTTCACAAATGTCAGCTGAGGCAGCTCGGGGTTCGACTCCCCGTGTCCGAATCTTGCTGATCGTGTATCCCTTTTCTTTGGAACCCACTGGAAAATATTGCTCACCTATCCGAGTTCACAGGTACAGAAATCATCGGACGTGGTGTACGGTACACCGCCTTCACTCTTGCATTTGAGTTCAACAAGGTGCCCCGAGGCAGCTCGGGGTTCGACTCCCCATGTCCGAATAATTTGGTCTTGACGGAGTATTTTATTCAGCGCAAGGACATATCGCTCACCTAGCCCCCTTTTCAGGTACATGAAAGACTCGGATATGGTGTACGGTACATGGCCTCTCTTGTTATGTGTCTGATGCATAGCCAGAGGCAGATCGGGGTTCGACTCCCCGTGTCCGAATATTTGAGCACTTACCGTGTCCGAATGTTGCTGGAACAATAATCATAATTTGGTCAATACGCTGCGAAATATAGCTCACCTATCAAGCTACACAGGTAGAGAAATCATCGGATATGGTGTGCGGTGCACGGCCTCTCTCCTTCAAGGCTTTAATAGACGTCAGCTGAGGCAGCTCGGGGTTCGACTCCCCGTGTCCGAATAATAGGTCTATTCATGACTTTTTATTCGCTGCAGGGAAATCGCTCACCCATCCACCTTCGCAAGTATAGAAATCATCGGATATGGTGTACGGTACACCGCCTCCTCTCCTACATGTACAGCTCACCTACCCGAGGCAGTCCGGGGTTCGACTCCCCTCCTCGGCTCTCAGTCAAATGGTTTTTATTCAGCGGACATGCCGCTCACCTATCCAACCTTCGCAGGTAGAGAAATCCTCGGATATGGTGTACGCTGCACGGCCTCTCTCGTTATGTGTCTGACACACAGGACCAGAGGTAGTCCGGGGTTCAACTCCCCGCATCCGATTGTAGCCGGAACGATGATCATTTTTCACTCGTCGCAGCGAAATTTTGCTCACCTATCCAGCCTAGCGAGTACAGATATCATCGGACATGGTGTACGGTACACGGCCTCTCTCCTTCCAGGCTTTCACAAATGTCAGCTGAAGCAGTCCGGGGTTCGACTCCCCGAATAACATCATCACCAAATCTGAAAATATCTGATATGCCCTGATTTCGATCGCCTTGCCAGATGCGGCAGCCAAGCCATTCCATGCCAACACCGGACCTGATGTAGCCTTGCATTGATTCATCTGGCCAGGTATTCAGCTTGCAAGACCAATGGAAGACAGTAGCAGACTCTTTCTCTCTTCCATAGTGATGTCCTGCGCTCCATCCCAATCCGATAATCAGCAAACTATGGAAGACTTGTTTGTCCTACAATCATACTATTCAATGTGCCTGCCTCGGCAAGTAAGTGGTATTGTCGCTGCACTGCGCGGAGTCGGCACCGGGCAGGGTGTCGCGTTCGACTCGGGCAGCCGCAGGGAACTGGCAGTGCCGATGCGACGCACATGCACATGGCGATCACGTCGAAACTCCGACGGTCCGTGCACTGTTGATATGGCGTGATGTGATTGATGGTTGGTTGCTAACGCTCCTTGCTTTCTCCCTTCATCTCCTCGCTCGCCCAGCAATGTTGCCCTCCCTGCTCACAATGCTCCCTGGTCCAGCAAGTTCTGCAAGCTCTCCCTCCACTCTTCCAAGACATCCAATCCTTCCAAATGCCAGCCTTGCTTCAAAAGAGCCGCTCTGAAGACGTGCGGGTATACTTGGCTGCCTCACCCTGTCCGCCTGCAATGTTAATTTTGCCTCCGAACCCCCTCGAGCGCATCAAACCGTCATCAAACCGTCCAGCCCTTCAAACCCTCAAGCTCATCAAGCGTGTCAAGTCCTCAACCACGTCATTTTATCAAGTCCTCAAGTGCGTCAAGCTCATCAAGCATGCACGGCTTATTTGAAACCTCTTCTCGCAAGTTACCTATTTCTGTATCAAGCCAAGCCTGTCCCAAGCGAGGCTTAGTCGACCGACCCGGAGGACTCAATTTACTCCCCTTCCCTCGTCCTCGGCGGCCCGACCTGCCTGCATCTGCTACCTGGGCACTGTAGTAGACGTAGCCGAGCGAATATAATTTATTTTTTGCTGCATTTTATTAGAGCCTGAATCAGAACAAGAAATGTAGTAGCGTTTGGAAACACTAAGGATGTTCTGCAACACTGGTGGAAGATTTCGAGTTTTTGAGTGAAAAATTTGGTGAAAATTAGTTTGGGTTTACACAAGTTTTTCGCCAAAAATGTAGGTGAAAAACTCAAGAGTTTTTCAGCAGTTTCCATTTTATTTCGAAAATTTCACCTAAAGTTGGAAAACTTTTGAAAATGATTCAAGTTTTTTACCTACATTTTTGGCAAAAAACTTCTGTAAAACTCAAAACATTTTTCACCAATTTTTTCACTCAAAAACATGAAATCTTCCACCAGTGCAAGGCCTTATAATGGTCAGAAGGCATTGGAAGGGCCGTCAGCCTGGTGACCATTGCCAAGTGATGTGGATCTTCTGGAAGGCTAGTTATCGCCTTCTGGCCCCGGTGACCTTTCCATACCTTATAAGGCCTTGGTTAGCCTTATATTGTTTTTCCGCTTTTGGTGATGATGATTGATATCTTTTTATTCGCCGTTGGGAAATATTGCTTACCTATTCAAGTTCACAGGTCCAGAAAGCATCGGATATGGTGTACGGTACACGGCCTCTCTCCTTCAAGGCTTTCGTAGACGTCAGCTGAGGCAGTCCGGGGTTCGACTCCCCGTGTCCGAATGTCGCTGGAACAAAGTCATAATTTTGTCAACACGCTGCGAAATATCGCTCACCTATCTAACCTCGCAAGTATAGAAATCATCGGGCATGGTGTACGGCACACGGCCTCTCTCGTTATGTGTCTGATGCATAGCCAGAGGCAGATCGGGGTTCGACTCCCCGTGTCCGAATATTTGAGTCTCTGCGGAGTTTTTTTAATTCACCACAGGGAAATATTGCTCGCCTATTAAGGTTAGCACAAGTGAAGCCGCAACGTCAACAAGATGGCAGCCTGTCAGGATTCTGCCCGGTAGTGCCGGGTTTGGTTGGTTTGGTTGGTTTTATACACTCTATAATACATTGAGGCCTTGTGGGCCTCATATCTTGAATATAGGGCTTGTTTCATACATTGAATATGATGCAGGCAAATTTTTTTGAAGGTATTTAATGGCGCATTTTTTGTCTGCTGTGCCCTACCACTCGGCTGTATTCCGATCGATATTCCCCACCACCCATGTGGTGTTCAGAGCTTCTGAGTGCTTGTCCAAGGTGATTAGGGCTGGATGGGGAGCTGAGCACTGAACAAGGTTCAGTGGTGCCCAGATTGATACAATGAGGGTATTAAATACACATTAAAAACATGGCCCCCAGGAACCTTCTATTTAATGTTTTATACATGGTATAATACCGTTTGTATAATCTAATCTTTAAATACATCATTTCAGACCCGGCACTCGTTCTCGGGCAGAGAGCGGGAGTTGGGATGGCACAGATGCCGTGTCCGAAAGAGCGGCGGCCAGCTGATGCACGGCAAAGAGGTCAACTGATCGGCGTTTGTCAGAAAAACGTAATTTTTATAAAGAGGGTGATAAATAGGCCTTCGGACAGCATGAGGCTATACTAGTTTCCCACGGCTTCCTTCTCTCCCTCTTACCACCATTTCCAACGATGTCTGCGACCGACTTGGAAGATGCACACGATGTGGACTCCTCACAGCTTCCACATACTCTGTGGTCCCTCTTTCCCTTTAAATCTCGGGCGGTGGATTCTGAAGATGAAAATGACTCGGACGTCCCAGCAGCAGAGTCTGGAAACGACCCGGACATCACACCCGCAGAACTTCAGGTGCGCGCGAGCCCCTTTTATCATCTCGAACAATACTGACAATCGTCCTATCCAGAGACTCCAGGGACTCGAAATGGCGAGCCAACAGTCCAATGACCCGGATGCGTCCATCGCGGCCCTCAAAGAGCTACAAGAATTGGCTTATGCTGGCGCATCTCTCTCGCCATTTGCTCTTCGCGTCTTGGAAGTTCTGGGCAAGTTTCTCGCCATCGAGAGGATTCCGAAAAAGGCTTCGAGTGGGGATGTTTACGAGAGGCTGGTTTTCTCCGCTGTCTCTGCGCTTTGGAGCTACGGCATAGCAAAGAGAAAAAATCCAGATGTTAGTACGCTTACTCGCATCTATGTGCCTGCGTCTGACTACTTATATTACTAGGACGGACGACTCGACGACGCGTGTGTTTGCCTTCTTCCAAAGGCTCTCCAATGGATCAACTTCTTCCACACCCACTTCTTTGGTGATTTGACGCAAGACATACATCTTCGCGAGAATGCATGGGGTGGTGCCCTCACATTCCTGGATCTGGCCGTGGGTCATCCTCAAATGTTTTGTTTATCTGGAAATGAGATTACCCTGACCGTAAGCTCGTTGTGCCATATTTATCTATGAACTGCCATATCAAGAACCTTTTGCAGATTGTCAACCTTTGGGTTGTGGGAGCAGCACCCAACAACTCAATGAACTCATTCACCTACAGACACTTGCCAGCCAGGCTCTTACACAAACTCATCGACTGTCATGGAGAAGACTACGAGTACATGATCACGAGTGCCATGGAGTCGGTGGGACCGTCGATCGCTGCTCAGGCAGCCATGCATCATCTATCGTCGGTATCTGGCACCGAATCGGATTCTCATTTCCTAGAAAAGCGAAATGAGACACTCCTCATTCGTATTATGGTTTGCACGGATTTAGCCCATTCTCTATTATCAAACGGTGTTCTCCGAATTTTGATCAAGACCCTCTCATATGCGACCCGAGAGTCATACACCGACGATCCTGCGACCAGTGGAATCATGATTTGGCTCGTCCAAAATTCATGCGAGGCGTTGCAGGTGGCCATGGCGAGAACGACGGGCGTGGCAATGTGTCGTCAAGCCCTCGAGTTTGGGATTCTTGCACCGCTCTTGCGTGCTGACAAGTGGCATACCCATCTTACTCCCGCACACTTCCCAAACGTGCCTTATATCCACTCCCGCCTTCTCATCCAAACTCTAGCCACGTATACCATCTATCCATGCGTCCTCCGTGCTGCGGCTATTGCCATCGAAAAGGTACCCGTCAAGCTGCAAGCCAATCTCGATAAAGCAGGACCGATGAGGGCAGCGTGGAAACAGTTCAAAGATGTAGTTCAAATGCGCCTGCAGGTCCCAGGAGCACCTGTCGGTCCTTTTGACATTTTGATATGTTCCAATCTATTCGTGGGTGTGCTGTCTTTGACGCAATTTCAGTGAAAACTCACCCGTTCTTCTAGTGTCCTCTTCTCTCTCCCGAAGATGCGGAGGGTGCATCGAAAAGATGCTCTGGGTGCGGAGATGTGGTCTAGTGCGTTTCCTTTCCCACATCTATTATAATCGCTAATAGCGCGTCCAAAGCTGCGGGTCAGCTTGCCAAACTATCGATTGGAAGAACCACAAGAAGTTTTGCAAGGAGATGCAAGCCATAAATAATCGTGAGTTTCTCGCCATTATCTTGCTCGAGCCGTGCTGAGAGGAATCCTAAATGAAGGCAGGCCCAGTGTACCCAAAGAAGAGACGGATTTTGCCCGCAAAGTCGCTTTTCACGAATTGGAGATGCACAAAAACTTTATCTTGCAAAATGGCGCACAACCCCAAACAATCATTCCCCCCTCACTCTTACCATACATCCCAACGGCCGTACCTCTGAACACGAGGAAGATCCTCATTCCCTCAAAATCCAGGTTGTGATTTTGAATTACGAACAGGACCATACCTCGGACAAGCTGAAACCAACCATTGAATTCACCAGCGTTCCGATGTTCGAGCACCTTGGGCTTCCGACGATGGAAGAATCAGCACAGAGGTACATGAAGGAATGGAAAGCAATCAAGTTGCTCGCAGAGAAACCTCAGAAACGAGGGATGCGTGCTGGAATTGTCGTCGTTCGTATTCCAGAGGGGCTGTTCACAGTACGAAAGTTCTTCTCTTTGTTGCCCTACTCAATCGCTTGATCGATTCCAAAAAGATGTAACAAAATTTGGTTTTTCATTTAATTTGGGCCCCGTGTATAAAATACATTGTATACAAGTGATCCCAGTCGAGAAAAAACAAAAGAAACCGACCAGGCACGAAATGAGGAAAAGAAAAGCAAAACCCGATCCGCGAGAGGCGCGATGCTCATGGGTCACATCTTGTCCCGTTGGCACCATGTCTGCCATGGAGCCCCCAGACTGTGGGACCATTTCCATCTCTCGGCGACGCCCAGTTCTTCGATGGACCGAACAGTTTCCTGGTTTCGCCCGATCCTCGCTTGATCCCGCATCCGTCCTTTGCACGTCGAATTCGAGCAGTGGTCAGGTTCACCCACCGCGACTGAAAATCTATTCGATCTGATATTCCAAACATATGAGAGATTGAAGTATCTTTGTCTCTGTATCAGGTGCACTACCACATCCTCCGACTCCGAGTCCCTGTCACACATTTTCAACAGACCAACCCCCTCCCCTCTCGCCTCTGAAAGCACTGCTACCTGCTAACATACCCTCGCAATGCATGGACCATCAATGGCACATTGATGAGGGCAAGAAGGCGGGCAAACGGTGCCGCCTGCAACCCACTCTTAAATAGGTAAGGTCTCGGGGCCGATGCATCGCAAGTCAATCTGATGAGAAGGTTTGATTAATCGCGGTCCTCCTCTTATCTGAAGCCCGCGATATATTAAAACCCCATATACGCGCCAGACTCAATCGATGCTCTAAGCGCTATCCGCACAGTATTAATTCTAGACCGACTATTGTTCATTATTCCGCTCCTGGACCTGGCACGATCTTCCCGGAGTGCGAGAAATAGCTGGCCGCCACCGGCAAACTGCCCATCTCCCGCCCAATATTAGACACCGAATTCCGGTGTCGAAATTGGCGGCGAACACTGGTGGAAGATTTCGAGTTTTTGAGTGAAAAAATTGGTGAAAATTAGTTTGGGTTTTACACAAGTTTTTCACCAAAAATGTAGGTGAAAAACTCAAGAGTTTTTCAGGAGTTTTCCTTTTTATTTCGAAAATTTCACTTAAAGTTGGAAAACTTTTGAAAATGATTCAAGTTTTCTACCCACATTTTTGGCGAGAAACTTCTGTAAAACTCAAAACATTTTTCACCAATTTTTTGACTCAAAAACTTGAAATCTTCCACCAGTGGAAAACGGATATACTCGTCGGCGAATGTAAAGCGGCAGATGCTCCTGAGTGCAAACGGGAAGCCAGCATCTAGCGACGGTCTTGCTAATAAGTGCGACCAAGATACTTATATGGCACATATACTGTCCAAAAATTATTAGCTGACATCTCTCAACCGTAAACATGGTTTTTGCTCACAACTTGGGGTGAATCCTTGAAATAGCTGACAACTTCGGACTGGGCTACAACTGTCACCCCACCTCAGACCAGGTAGTTCTGAAATACATTCAAACCTCGGTACATCTTGGAGGATCTTTATATTGAGGCCAATTCCATTAAATTGATCCCGCTGATGACAACATTGATGTCATGTCTTTTGCCGAGCGTCAAAATGGAAACCATCTTATTCCAGGTCTATATTGTTGGTAGGAGGTCCTCAATAGCAGTTCAATACCTCTGCACTAATTAACCTGACTCTTGTTCATCTGTAAACTTATAGCATAAACGGGTTCAAGAGCAGCAAAAACATCGAGCCACCTTGAACTTT